ACAGCAGCAGCAGCAGCAGCAGCAGCAGCAGCAGCAGCAGCAGCAGCAGCAACAGCAGCAGCAACAGCAGTATAAAAACAAAAACCCTAAAAAACCAACTAAGTAACACAAACAAATCGAAATGAAATAAAACAAGTAGAAACAAGCAAATATAAACAAATACAACAAAATAAAAAGAAAGAAAAAGAAAGAAAAAGAAAGAAAAAGAAAGAAAAAGAGAGAAAAAGAGAGAAAAAAACTTTTATTGTTTCTTACGTTGTTCTGTATCAGAGCGCCAGCTACATTGCCGAGGGCGTAGCAGTATATTGAATCGAAGTCGCTGGGGAAGCCGCTGCGGCCTTCGTAGCTGAAACAAAAAAAAAAATAAAAATAAATTAAATATTATAAATATATAATTTAGTGAGGTGTATGTACACGTGAAAGCATGAATAAGGTGTTCTATCTATACAAATGATGCTGCTGCTGCTGCTGCTGCTGCTGCTGCTGCAGGGTTGCTGCGGTTTGTAGACAGACATATATAGAGAAAAAAAGAGAAAGAGATACAGACAAACAGACAGAAAGAGAGAGAGAGAGAGAGAGAAAGAAAGAAAGATAAAAAAACAGATATGCGTACCCCAGGTATGTGCAACGGCCGTTGAAGGGATGCTTGAATCCTCTTCTTTTGAGTTCTTCGGTTGTCATCTCCAACAGCAACTGCTCAGTATGAATCAAAGCGACCTAAAAATAAATAAAATAAAATAAATAAAATAAATAAAATAAATAAAATAAATAAAATAAATAAAATAAATAGACACAGCTGACAGCAGCAACTCGTTCCGGTGTCTGCTCACCTTCAGCTACAAACCAGAAAAAAGAAAACGGCATAGAATCACCGCACTAAACTTATTAAAACGACTGAAACAATACGATGAAATATATGATGAAATATAATACTTTCTTTGTTTTAATATAATCTAATTTTGCATATTAATATGAAGCTTTGTTTTTTTCGTTTTACATAAGAAGATGACTCTGCGTATGGGTGCATTGAATTCAATATATGGAGGAAAGCACAACATATCAGTACACAAAGAGATCCGTTTTTTTTTTTGTTAAAATAAATAAAATAAAATAAATAAAGTAAATAAAATAAATAAAATAAATAAAATAAATAAAATAAATAAAATAAATAAACAGCTGACAGCAGCAACTCGTTCCAGAATTTGCAATACAGCAGAAACCACTCATACAGAAACCAGAAAAAAACAAAACTGAACAGCAGAGAGAGAAACCTAACCTGAACGTTTCCATGGGGGTCGCGATCGAGGAGAAGCTGCTGCTGTGTGTGCGTCGGCAACATATCTAAAACTTCTCTGCTAGCAGGAGTAAGCTTGGATCTATCAAATTCACCAGCAGCAACAATATTGTTTATTTCTTGAATCAGTACTCCGACCTGTACATACACCCGAAACGTGAACGCACGCGCGCAAGCGCACGCGAAATCAGGCGAAACTCGGTGTTTTTCATGAATAAAAATCGCGTTTTTTCTCTCAAAAATATTTTAAAATATATTTATTAATTATATATCCGCTGGATTCACGAATATACGTCTTGATTCCGCTGAAAACCGACCTCGGGTATGAATTCTATAAGACCCTCCGGCAGCAGGATCACACCGTACAGCTTTCCAAGTTTCGCACGGGTTTCTACGAGATCAGCTGTCATCGCGACCAGCTGCTTCAACGATTGTTTCTTTGCTTGAACTTCTTCACCCACAAACGTCATATTCGGGTGACAGCGCAGAGAGCATTCCAACGTAAGCAGAGAAGCACTGCGACCCATCAGCCGCACAAACTGATACACGTCCCCTGAAGAAAAAAAAGAAAAAAACAAAGAGAACACAGTGGAACTAGAGAAAGCATGCGATGAACACAAAGAAAGAAAACAGCGAAAGCAAAGGAAAAAAAAAACCAGAAAAAAAAAGGAAAAATAAGATTGAGACAAGTTGTAAACAGACGAG